TATGTACCCTTGATGTCATATGATCTAGGTACTAATTAGCGATTTTCTCGTTCATGACGCTGTCAAAAGAGAAAAGTAAGGTGTGCAATCGGTAGAGGATGAAACGTTCTATCTGGAACCATCAATAATAGAATTACAGCCAGTGAAGAAACGAATCGCCACAGCATTTTCTCATGTTAACCCTTGATGTCATATGCTCACGGTACTAATTAGCGATTTCCTCGTTGATGAGTGTGTGAAAAGTGAAAAGTAAGGTGTGCGATCGGTAGAGGATGAAACGTTCTATCTGGAACCATCAATAATAGAATTACAGGCAGTGAAGAAACGAATCGCCACAGCATTTTCTCATATTTACCCTTTATGGCATATGATCAAGGTACTAATTAGCGGTTTTCTCGTTGATGACTCTGTCAAAAGGAAAAAGTTTGTGCAATCGGTAGAGGATGAAACGTTCTATCTGGAACCATCAATAATATAATTGCAGCCAGTGAAGAAACGAATCGCCACAGCATTTTCTCATGTTAACCCTTGATGTCATATGATCTAGGTACTAATTAGCGATTTTCTCGTTGATGGCTCTGTCAAAAGTGAATAGTAAGGTGTGCAATCGATAGAGCTTGAAGAGTTCTATCTGGAACGAATAATGATGGAGTTGAAGCCAGTGAAGAAACGAATCGCCACAGCATTTTCTCATATTTACCCTGGCTGGCATATGATCAAGGTACTAATTAGCGATTTTCTCGTTGATGACACTGTCAAAAGTGAAAAGTAAGGTGTGCAATCGATAGAGCATGAAAAGTTCTATCTGTTACCGTCAAGAATGGCGTTGTAACCAGTGCAGAAACGAATCGCGACGGGGTTTCCCGGAGTTGGGGTGGTTTGCTTTCGGGTTTTGACTATAATCCCGGGGTTTCTCCTTGCTAGTATGATGAATTTTTGGAGCGACAGCTGGAACAGAAAGCGCTGGTCCAGTGGTGCTTGGAGCCAACGGAAGCGGAACTGGAACTAGGCTATGGTCGAATCCTTTCAGGAATTGCTCGAATCCTGACCTACGATATCCTACGTCTGTTCCGATATTAATACTAATTGTTGCTGTTCGACGAAGATAATTAACATCATCATCGTCACTTAATGACGTATATTTTGCAACCGCTTGTTTCCATTCATCTTCACTAAGCTCACAAAACGGTCCACTCGGATGTTGAACGAGAAAATCCGAAATCATGTGACTCCGTCTACGTCCGTTCGAAAAGAAACGGTGTATTCTCTTGGAAAACCATCGTTTTGGGCTAACTTCACCACTTCTAAATGTTGATTCATCATGAACTAGTAAAGATAAACACAACAAATAGCATAGTAGAAATTATATTTAAAAAGTTTCGATTACTGCGCTTATATATAAATATGAGGACGTTGTAAATTTGCTTCAAACTTGGCTCCCCATCTACGAAGATTCACACGACAACTTCTTTCAGATCTTATAAAATCGTCGCCAATTTGTTTTTGAATTCCCGTTAATTCATAGTATTTTTCATCAATAAACTGAGCCAAATCCAAAGCCTTGAATTCCCCTGACTTTTTAGAACACGCTTCAACGACAAATTCTTTCGCATCTGCTTCAATTTCGGGAAACACATCGAATGAATCAGCTTGTTTACCATCACGTAAATCGTTTGAAAACTCTTCATAATCTCCTTTGATAAACACTGCTGCCCATTTATGAGAAGTTTCTGCAGTCATAAAACCAATACTTTTCAAATAGTTATCGGCATCTTCCCATTTAATGTCGAAGAAACGTATTGCTGTATATGTCATGACATATACAGCAATACGTTTCTTCGACATTAAATGGGAAGATGCCGATAACTATTTGAAAAGTATTGGTTTTATGACCGCAGAAACTTCTCATTGACATATACAGCAAAGTACTAAAATATTTCGTGTCACATTCAGACTTGTACATTTCAGCAAGATCACCAATGTCGGTCAATAAAAGTTTTTCATTGAAAGTTAATTCTTTATCATCAGTAACCATGCGATATTCGTTATCTGATGAGTCGCTTGCATCCGAAATCTTTGTATTTGACCAGCAACGACCTACTGCACTCTGCAATTGACTTTTTCTTTATTTGCTTTAGGCATACCAAACTAACTTAGTTCAATTGCAAATGAAATTATCTTAAAGAAACACACATGTTATCAGAACTTTCGCTTATACTATGATTTTCAAGAAAAGGCTTTCCAGAGACCCTCTGCAGACCTCATAAAGACCTCGAAACTATGTCCATTGGATTCGTCATCAGTTTTTACCTATGTGAACAAATTTTCACTTGATTTCGATAAAAAACAAACATTCTATGTAAAAATGACCTCCCCCTTTTTCGTATCATACAGTAAAAACGATTTTTCTCAACATAGGAAAGAAAAGGAAAAAAAGGATACGTAGTTGGATGACGGGTGGTATGATGAATGGAATGAGATAAAATAATTGACTCCATCGTTTACATAGAAAAAGTAGATAGGTTTACAAAATCGACCTATACGCATCATAGTCGACACAATTCGAAGCACCACCACCAATAGAGTTTTGGGTCTAGAGTCGATTTACCAGCTTATCTATACTCAGTGTTTGATGCTGAATCTGAAAAAATTATTTTCAGAAGTTGAAAACAAGAACGAGCTAGAAAATGTTGCACATTTTTGAAAAGCATGTGTTTTTGAAGAAAACGACACAGTTGGAATATATCGTATTTTTCGACCGGAAGGAAGCGTTCACTCGAGCTAAAAAGTAGATTTTCGTGATCAGCAGCTCAAGCTCTATCAAATAGTGTAAAAAAAGGCGAAAAAAAAATTTTTACTCGAAGTTTGAATTGCCCGCAACTTACATTCAATGATTTCTGGTGTATTCAACCATTAGGTTCACTTTCGTGCTATAGAATTGCTTTTGGTTGCTGAATACATATTTTGTCGCGCTTTTCGAACTCACTCCCACACTTGCCACCTCCCATCACACACTTCCAGTAATGCCCAAATGGGTTTTATGAAAAAGTTGCGGAAGAGTTGGTGTCGCGGAACTGTCATATCACGTGTAAAACGACTCACTATCTGACTGTCTTGGTTAGTCTTTTTGCAGACGACATCTTCATCGTTATATCGTTCAAAAAATCGTTAGATTTATCTTCCATAAACGCTGTCGTTCAAAGTGAAATGAATCGCGTTGTTTAACTACTGTGAGTTAAATCACATGTCTTTAAAAACTGCTTCGTGGACTTATTTAACTCTTGGAGTATTATGCTTTATACTCTAAATAAAAATCTTCATCAATAATTTCATAGGCATTTCAAAACCATTTCATCCTGAGTGGAACGAGCTAGGACAGAATCGGTTGTTTTTCTTTCCAGATAAAAAAGTAACGTTCCTTTCATCTGGTATATTAAAACAGACAATAGTAGAAAGTTGATTTTTCAAAACGATATTATCCACCTGTGAATACCGACTAATTGATTTTCAATACATTTCTTCTCGATTCACCGAGGAAAAATAGCGAATCAAGAGCAGCCTGTAGACAATAAAAGAATGAGAAACTAATTGGATATAAAACTTTCATCAGTAATATAGAAGTGAGGGTAAGTCAATCCCAACTTTCAAATTTTTCTGTCCATTATACCATCTTGAAAGATCTTTCTACACGTCAGTATTATTTGCCATTTCGGCAGTTGCCTCTGTTTTTTCTTCTCCGTACCACTCCTTTTCGATTTCATCCAACGTCTTGCCTCTTGTTTCTGGTGCCAAAAGAAATCCGATGAGCGAGTGAATAAACAGTAAAGCGATCATGATAACAGCCAACCAACTAAATCCAATCCTCGTGATCATCACAGGTACAACGAGTGATATCAAACCTACGCCCACCCGCACTAGGCAAAACATGGTTCCTTGTGCCGCCGCTCGATATTCAGTTTTAAAGAGTTCACTCGCCCATAAACTATAAAATGCTTGAGCACCGAAACCGGCTGCCACACCCCAGATCACCACAAACAGACACAACTCTACCCAGCCCATTCCTCCAACAACCAATATTATCCATCCGATAATTTCCATTAAAGCTCCAATGCTGAATAAGTATCTTTGATTCCACTTATCTCCAAAGCGAATGAACACAAAATAGGTAGATAAAATGGTGAATACCCACAGTGACGCTTGCAGTAAATTTGCGTGTGTTGATGTTAAACGCCACCCAGCAATCTGATAAATGTAAGGCATGAAATAACCCATAACACCTGCGACAAGGCACCAAAAAAAGTAAATGCCGAAGAGCAGAAGAAAAGCTTTTCGGTTAGCTTTAACGGTAATTAGTTCTCGTAGTAAAGAAGTCTTTCTTTGAGGCTGTTGCGTTCTCGCTTCCAATAGAGTAGCATCTCGTTTTTTCTTTTGTCTTTCTGTCCAAACGTGTGATTCATCTATTTTCTGCCTCAAAATCCACGTGATAAATGCCGTGACAAGCAATGAAATAAAAATAATTCGACTACCCAACAATCCCCATGGTGACAAAGCCACAGACATCAATAGAGAAATAGCAGGTCCTACTGACCATGCAAATTGTCCCCAACCTACTCTTGCTGCTCGCTCATTCGGCGGTGCTTCTTCTGCAATGTATGTCCATGCTGCGGGAATCGCAGCACCTACTGCCACGCCAGTTATCACATAACCGATCAACAGCATTGGAAAATTAATGGCGAGCGAGATAAGTGCAACACCGCACATGTACACGACGAGATCGTATTTATAGACAAATTTGCGGCCATAACGATCGGCAAGAAATCCACCGAGCAGCGCTCCGATCGCCGAACCAAAACCGTTTGCACTTACTGCACCGAGTAGACCGACTTCGAAATCACTCAATTGCAAATACTCAACCCAAAGAGAAAGACCACCGGCACCCGCCACAATCGACGCTGCTTCGAGATAATTAGACATAGCAATGGTGATCGTTGCTTTCAAATGCTTCTTTCCTTTTGCTCCAGTCTCCTCAGCCATCACTTACACCAAAAATTTGGATAAACAGTCGAGACTATTGCGATTCAACTTTATGAATAAATGAGAGACAAATACTCTATTAAAAGTTACTTGGTGCCTAACATGTATGACAGTATGTATATAGATTAGAACGGTGAGAAAACGTGTTCATTTTCTCACTCTATTAGACAATAAGTTTAACAACTGTCATGATATAAGAAGGCTAGGCTTGCGAGGGACCCGTGTCGTATTTTATGTCATATATCATTTCAATATAAGCGAAAGAGTAAATGTAAAAGGAACATTATTTCACCAAGCAAATTGACTTTTCTACTGCATATTTCGGTTGTTTGAAATTAGCTGGACAATTCATTGTATGATAACAGTACGGCTTAAACACGCTTGACGGAATTACATATTTTCAACTTTCGAGCTATGTTTCTCCTCGAATACTAAACAGAGTCGACGAAATGTTTACCAAAGATGTGTGGTAGAATAGCAGAGTGAATCGGTTCAATAGAATAATTATTATAAGCAAGCCCCCCTCCTGCTTCTGAAAATGTTTGCTTTTTCCGCAGCAAAATATGATAAATCTTCTTTTCCCGCGTAGTAGCAGTAATTTTATACGAATCTTTTTATTATTTGGTTGCGTTCAAGAACAGAAAAATGATATTAGAACGAAAGAAGTCATAATTTGTCATAGAAATTATCGACAGCAAGGGCTATCTGTCAGTATTTTGCATTTATTCAAATTTGCATCAGCTATTGTTAACTGTACGTTACTTTCAATGCGATAAACTGCATGTTATTTTAACGAAAGGTGGCTAATATGATTTCAGATGGTGACTTCGGAAATAAATAGAGCATGGAGAAACTGAATTATTGCTATATATATAATTTATCATATTGACTTATGAATAAAAATGTGTGCTTTCAAGCGCCTTCAGACGTAAATGCCTCGATTGAAACCGATTTGCTCTATCAAATCGACATGCAAAATTTAGCATGTGACTGGGCAAAAGCAAAAGATCGTCGAATATTCATATGAAAAGGAACAGTTCTAAACCTTTCATTTGGTCATTTAGTAAAAACAAAAATTCTTTTGTTTTGTATAAAAAATAAATGAAATTGTTAATATTCTTAAGTGCAGACTTGAAGACGTTTGACACGCGTTTCTTTCTAGAATGCATGATGAGGGAAAATGTAGGAAAGTAGTTCCTCAGAGTTAAAAAAGTAAAAAGAAGCACAACTGTATTGTGCTGTTGATGTAAAGATCATGTATTCGTAAAAAACAACATTATTTAACAGGAAACTTTTAGTCACTCCCTCCCTGCTTTAGAGTCCTCGCTACGCCCCTGCTTTTAAACCGTTTATTTACTGTTACTTAGAAACGCTTAAATGAAATAAACGAGCGAAATGACTCAGTGATTATTTATTCTCCTTACCTTGTAGGTAGCTCAAAAAGAAACAAAAGACTTTCGTACTACCCAAACAAAAGAAAAAATAAAAACTTTTGCCGTGGTTGTTTTCACTTTCCTTTCGGCTCATATAAGAGAGTTTCGTCCCATTTATGATTTCTGCTTGAACTTTTTCTAATGATATCTATAAGTCTTTCTTTTCTATACGCAACCACCGATAACTAAAAATAGCATAGTGACTTTTTAGGCCACATGGAATTGCAACACATGGAGAAGCCTAATTTTTTCCATGTGTTTAAATAAGGCTTCATGTGTAGCCTAATTTTTTTCTCATTTCTCGTCGAATAAAATTTACATTCGATTTTATTTCAATCGAGAATCGTAACCAAATTAACCTTTTTAATGTTCGAAACACCTTTCACCCGTTCTAAAATCCATTTTAATTCTTTTGGAGTCGATTCAACCCCGCTGGGAAGAATTTTTGCTCTGAACAAGTTGGGCAAAATCGAATGCATTCCCACACTTCTTTCACATCCTAGTAAAATGTTTATGTTACACTACCACCTATTCCGTCCACAACTTTTAGAAAAGAGAACTCATTCCGAATGATAATTCCTTTCAAAAGTGCTCAGGACCTTGCCTTTTCCGTAGCTAGTACCAAAAAACTGCCAAGACATGATTAGTCAGAGTTGCTTAGTATCTGTACAGTATAATATTGAACCTCATAGTGGGTATAGATTTCGTAACATATCACCGGAAAAAAAATAAAGTTCGTTTAGAGTTGCTGAAAAGTGGTTTTTCGTATTCAGCACACTCGATAACCCAGAAGATTTTCTATTTTTGGCTCGGGGTACTTCCGAAAGTTTCGGAAAA